ATCTAAAATCTCGAATACACAGCAAAGAAATAAAAATCTCAGATAAGGAGAAATTTAGTAAATTACCAAAAACAAAAAAGAATTAACTCGTGGGCTGTGGATAATAATAATTACCCAAAATCTAAACGAAATACGAATTGGACTGAAGTATACCTCTTTATGGACCCAACCCTGGCGGCATGAAAGGAAGCCCAAACTCGAATTGTTTACGAGGGCCATTACCTTTATTTCAGCATCTACAGAAAAGCCATTAAAACGACGTCGCTTGAATTAAAAATTAAGCGATAAATCAGAACAACTAATTAAATAAAATGGAAGTTACGGAACTTACATGGACGGTTATTCTCTGCCTTGATTTCTTTCAGCTTCAAGAACAGTGTATGAAACCCCGCCGCTGAAATTCCGACCATCAACAGATACTCTGATTCATCGTATTTCCGAAGCTCATTTTCTCTGGTTACCTCACCGACGTGAAGACTCATCTCGCAGTAGTCTGGTTTAACAAAGAAAAAGAAGAAGAGTAAGTGGGCAAGCTTTAATTTCTCCGAGAAGTCGAAAGGCCAGTCCGACATCTACCGTCTTGGGTTTCTTGATCGACATCTTGAGATGGGTCGAACCAGACGACCTTGAGAGTGGCGGGAGACACTTCAAGAGAAAAACCCAAGAAATTGAGTTAGATTCGATGGGGGATTTCAATCAATTTCCATTCTTGAAACAGGAAATGAAGAGGGGTTCTAGAAATTACAGTTGGGTTCGTCGGGGTTGTATTCTTCATCGGAATCTTCTTCTCTGGGGTCGATTGAGATGGATAAGGCACTTCTTCCGTTATTTTCTTCGAAAAGAACAAGAAGAAGCGTTCTGATATTCAGTCTTCCAGAGCAAGATTCCCAACAGTTGAAGAAATCGCAACCTCCAGAGAGGATACGCAGAGCAGCAACGATGTTGCCACCATCCTTGACTGTAAGTGACTGCCGGCGAGAATTGTAGGGGTGGCCATGGCGATTCCACATCCTACCAGTTCTGCAACGGCGTTTTTGAACAGTTCTGTAAGGTCTAACCACATAGCTGTTTGGCAGTTTGGTTGTTTGGCAGGTTTTACTCTCTTCTTAAAGGTAATATAATTACAAAAAACTGGTTTGTAGCCGGTGATGCCAATTTTTGGGTAAGGTCTTTATTTCATTACCATGTTCATAATGTTCATTCTATATTGTCCATTATCCGAGCTAGAATTCCTACCAAAGACCTGAAAGAGGAGTTTATGCTTTTTCTACTTTGGGCTCTGTGAATTAACTTTAGAAGAATCAGGCCATTTATTCCTTAATTGTGCAGTTGCCTACAGACTTTTAATGAGATGTTATGCATGGTGGGGTTTACTTTCTGTGCTTCCTAACTCATTTTTGGATTTATTCAAACAACGTGCCTGGTTTGGGTATTACAAGTCACTGAGGAAGGCATGATATGTAATCTGGGTTGGTATTTTACGGAGATTAAGGTTGACATACTTTCTGCATGATGAGATGATCAGGTCATGAAGGAATAAGCAGGACCAAGAGGAGCTTTGCTGAATATTTAGCACCTTGAGCTCCTATTGCCTTGATGGGATCAGTTATTTAGTGTGAGCACAAGTTATGTTCTTAGCAAAAAAAAAAAAAAAA